TCGGGCACAGCTGTGAACATAAAAGCAACAAAAGACAGGGAGTAATGATTTCCAGAACAAACGAAGATGTGCTCCTGGGCCAGGGAAAGTGGGCTTCAGCTGGCCGACACCCTGTGGTGGTAGTGGCTCATCACTAAAGCTGCCCTGTAAGGGCAAAGTGACTACCAGCACCCAGCTGAGTGAGGTAGTATTCAAGGCCTTCTTACAGGAAATGTGGAGAGCTCAGCATTTTTCCAAACACCTTTTGGGCAGCCTAGAAATGGGAGCCAAGCCCTTTTAGCTGCCTGGCCCTCCATGCCAGGAGCAGCATCGGTGATTTATTCTTGACAGCTTAATCCCCAGGGCAGAGCTTTTAATTTTAGTGCCATGGACAGATCCAATGGGAGTGTGTGCATTTTTATGGACAGGCTCCAGAGCCCTCCTTAGATTCTCAATCCAAAAACAGGTTAATAACCACTACTCTAGGAAGTTCTAATTGCAAATGCTTAAATCTGAGCAGGCTCAGCACTTTTTTCCTCCATTTTCCATCAGACTATAAGCTTCTCCACTGAACTATGATTGCCTTGAGAACAAAAACTACAAAAACTAGTCTTGTGTCTCATTCACTATTGTAATTCCGGGCCTAGCACGGTGTTAAAAAAATAAAAATATTTTTAAAAACAAATAACTAATTCATTGGCCTAATTAACTAACTGGTGCTTGTGTCCCTAACAGCATCCCTTCTCCTGCTGCCTTCTCTTCTGACTGGCTTAAAACACTTCAGGATCTCATATCTGTAAACAGCAAGGTGTAGGAGTTCCCCAGATTTTTGAAGCTCAGAGTGACAAGTCTATAGTCTAACAATACAATTATCTTGGGGAGAGAAATCAGACCTTTCTCCCAGTTCCTTCCACCAGTCACCATTGCTATAATAAATAATAAAAACAGAGACTGGCTGCCTCAAATTCCTACCCTGCTCAAAGCCAACAACACACAATTACAGGCAGATACCCATGTTGACACAGGTAAGCCACTCATGCGAACACGCCAGCTCAGGTCAGTCAGTTCTGTGAATATACTGGTTTGAGAAAGAACTAGATTTGAGGACAATCGGAAGGATGACCAGAGCCAACCCCAAAAGCTAGAAACAAGTAAGGAACATTGCAGACACTGCCCACGCTGTCTGACAGGCGGCACTGACACTCAGCAGCATGACGCTGCACACGTGCCACCCCCAACCAACTCCTCACCCACCTGGGGACTGCCTGGGGCATCCCACAGTGGGAGCTCAGGGGCTGCTGGATTGGATCACTTTTCTATTTTTCGAGCAGCCTATACTCCCCTCTGCCTTCTAGCTTACTAAGCCAGAACATGCAGAATGTCTACTTAAGGAGGAAAAGACAATATGCTCTTGACTCTTTCACTGCCAAGATAGTGCCCAAGGCTCTGAGGGTAGTCTTCTCACGCGACCACCCCTGTTCTATATAGACTGAGCGAAATGAAAACCCCAAACCTCGCTCCCTACTAGAAGGGAGGCAGAAAATTCACCCTAATCTTTATGCTTCATCCTATTTTGATCCAGTTCTGGAGCCCATGTTCTAGATGACCTACACAAAATATCCTCCACCCGGGGTGGGAGGAGCTCCTACTGGCCTGTTCCCAACAGAGGGCTGAAGGATTGAAGATGTGACTTGAGGAGTGTGGGTGGCACTATGGAAATCAGAAACCAGGAATGGAAGTTGCCTGGCAAGAGACTGTAGTCATGAGGTTGGGAGGAAGGCAGGACTTAGGAGTCCCCAGGTGCCCTGAAATGGGCTCCCACGTCCTAAGAACACTCTGGAGCCAAAGGCCCTTATGGCTCTCCAGGCCAACACAATTAGTCTTCTAGCTTCCTTCTCCTCATTCAGACTCCCCAATGGGAGTCTGACTCGCCCTATGGGACATGAGAGCACATTCAATTCAAATCTCTCCTTTTAAAGGTAAGGAAACTGAGGCCCAAGGTCACACAGTGAGAGAGGGGCAAAGCAAGGACCTGAACCTGGCTCTCTGGACTTCAGTCCAGGACTCTTCCCCGTAAATCCTACAGAGTTCTAAACACCGTTCCCTTCCAGGTTTTTCTCCATCTGTGACCGCCACCTCACCTACCCAATCTTTCCAGCCCCAATTCCCACACCATTACCCCAACTCCGCAAAGCTTCGTGCCGCCCCAAGCTCACTGCGGAGGAGATTCCTCCACGTGCTTCTCTCCAAACCTCCCACCCACCCAATTCCTCCTTTCAGCTCCATTCCGGGTTACGGTGCCCTGCGCCCTCCTCCTAAATTGCACCCTCCTTCCTCGCTGGCACCCCCGCCGGGAACCCGGGCCCCGCCCGCCCGTGAGGCCCCGCCCCTTGCCGTCCCCCCACTTCCCTCGGCCCCTGCACTCACACCCCGGCCCCTCTCACCGGTAAAGCCGCTTAGTGTGGAGGACCTTTGCTTCGGGCTCACTGCTCTCCCCTGGGGGTGGGCCTTGGCTCATGGTGCCCGGGTCCGGGGGCAGCTCCCGGTCACAGGCCCCCGCCACCCACCACTACTGCCACCACTGCCGTCTCCGGCCGGAGCCGCAGCCGCCACCGCCGCCGGCCCTGCTCGGCCGCCATCGCTGTGAGGCGGCTGCCCGCGACAGCTCCTCCTCTGCCTGCCAAATCTCGCGATACCAGCCGCACACTTGCGGGCCAGTGGCCTGCTGCTACCAAATCTCGCGAAACTAGTTTTCCCTCCCGGGAAGTTGCCAGAACTAACTTTGGGCAGATTGGCCTCTTTCCGGCTTCTCCAAGCCCTTGCGTAAAACTTTATTGGCAAAGCTGTCAAAAAACTGACAGTGGACCCAGTGAGGCGGCCGAAGCTAAAGTGTATCGGGGCAGGTGCGCTCACAGCTAGGAGCGTGACGTTGCTTTGTGCTGCAGTGGTCTTTTGGTCCACCCTTCTGCTCCTTCACCCCGCCCCCCCATTTGAGCCAAGCCTCTTTCAGGTTGCTGGTGAGAATGATTCCAGTTCTCCCTTTTCCCCATAATTTAAACAAACAAAAAAATGCATGTGAAAGTTTCCTTGGAAAGGTTTAAGCATCACATAGGACTAAAGCCTTAGAAGACATGACTCTTGTACAAGCGCCTCTGCCCTTCAGCTCCTCCCAAAGATTTCCAGCTTATATGTCCATCTCTCACCAGCCCAGCAAACATTTATTGAAATCCAGCTGTCTTCCAGCCACAGTGCTGGATTCTGGGGACACAGAGATAATCAGTCTAGACACTGTCCCTGCCCTCACAAAGCTCAGATGACTTTAAGTATAAGGTCTCATAGAAATGAGAAACTATTCCCTCACATTTCTGACCCTTGATCCTTACATTGGAAAGTTCACCTATTTAACTTGGATTCCTATTGCTCTCTTAACCTTAAACCTGAGCTAAAAAACAAGGGGTTTTTGTGCCTTTGCACACATTGTAACGGAAACATAAATTCCCCTTCTACCACTATGCTCCTGGCTCTGGCCACCCAGCTTCTTTCTGTTCCTGAAACAGCCTAAGTCTTTCCCACCCGTTGGTCTTTACTTGCTGTTCCTTTTCTTGAAACACTCATACTCCTGATTTCCCTTCAGGTCTCAGCTCAAATACCACTTTATCAAAGAGGTCTTCCCTACCGAAAGGTGATTTAGTTGCTGGCGATTTAGGTGCTAGGCTTCTTTATTATCTGTTACCCCAATAGAACATAAGCTCCTCGAGGGCAGAAACCTTGACTGTCATCATGTTCTCTTCTGTGTCTGTGCCTAGCACAATGCCTATCTAAAAACTGGTGTTCAATAAATATTTACTGAATGAGTAAGTATACAAATTCCACCTCTTTTCTGGGTCTCCCAACCTACTCCAGGCACCCTTTGGTGCACAAACCCACTCTCCCCCCTGTGCTTTCCTTGGCTGGGAGTTCTTAAGCATTGCAGGTGCCTAGAATACGAACTTGCATTTATGCCCAGCTGCAGCCCCACTTTCAGAAAGGATGACGTCCTCCTCCAGTGCTTTTTCTGTCGGCAGATTCAGCAGGGCGGGGCCTGCCCCTTTAATCTGGGCCCCACCTGCTCTGGTCAGACAGGTTTGGAGACACAGGTAAAGGGAGGGAGAGGAGAGAAATACTTACAGAGCTAGCTGAGAGCTGGGCAGCTCCTTCCCGGACACTGGGGACCCTTCACCTCTCTGCAGATGAAAAGTAAGAGGGTGTCATGGGTCCAAATGGCAAGGGTAGGAGGGCCTTTGAGGAGACGAGGGAGGGGAATCAGCCCCATCCAGAAGCAGTGAGGTGGAGGGCAGCAGGGAGGGGAGAAAGGCAGGAGAGAAGGCATGGGAAACAGCCATGATTAGACCTAAAAGTCAGAATGAACAGACCCAGGGCCTACGGAGATGAATGAGGTGGGCTAGTGAGAAGTTTGGAAACTGACCAAGTACCGATGAAAGGACAGGGTACCCTGCAATTCTCAGCTCCTTGGGACAGATTTGTGGGCAAATCACTGGTACAAGTTGCCAGGAGGGTTCCAGGCAGGGATCTGCAGAAAAAAGGGGAAATGGCATGGTGGAGGGGCAACTTCTCTGTCCACAGGAAGATCCTTGGTGGGAAAGAAACTCTTGGCAAAGTTCTAGACACATTCTCTTCCTCCCATTCCTGCATTAGAGTGGCCATGACTCCAGGGGTTTTGGTGGAGGGGTAGAAGGCGTGGGTGGGGACTGACTGAGGTCACAGCTGCCAGGGCCTGTGCCCCCTGACTCACCTTCTCCTGCTGGGCGGCATTTGATGTTGAAAGGCTGCCTCCATTTCAGCAACTCACTTCCCTCCACCTCCCTCTGTTTCAACACCTTCCTCTGCACCATGTTCTCTCCAAGGTTCCAGAAGGAGCTAAAGCCCATAAGGCCAGTTGCCCCGGAGAGTTCCAGTTCTGTCAACCCGTCCTATGGGCCAGAAGACAGGGGTTTCTAACAGCTTTCCTCTCCTCCCTCCAGGATGACATGACCTTGTGATACACCCCAGAACAGAGGTCCCAGGATGACAGAACCTGAGAGCCTAGCCCTGCTGGAAGTGAAGGGGTCTGAGGCCCTGGAGAAGAGCCCACCCGAGGCCTTGGTCCCCAATGGCCGGCAGCCAGAAGGGGAAGGTGGGGAAGAGTCCCCTAGGGCTGAGTCCCTCAGAATGGAGTCTTCAGCTGGGTCTCCCACAGCCACAGAGGGGGCCGAGGATGGTTTAGACAGCACAGTAAGCGAGGCTGCCACCTTGCCCTGGGGGACAGGCCCGCAGCCCAGCGCTCCATTTCTGGATCCCCCCGGCTGGCGGGACATTGAGCCAGAGCCCCTTAAGTCAGAACCGATTACCAAGCTAGAGGAGCCGCCCGAAGATGATGCCAACCTGCTGCCTGAGAAGGCAGCCCGTGCCTTCGTGCCCATCGACCTACAGTGCATTGAGCGGCGGCCCCAGGAAGACCTCATTGTGCGCTGTGAGGCAGGCGAGGGCGAGCGCCGGACCTTCCTGCCCACCCGGGTCACCCACCTTGAGCCCCCCGAGTGCAAGTGGGCCGAGGCAGTGGTGAGGCCATCTGGCCATTCCTGTGGGAGCTGCGGGATCTGTGGAGGCCGTGAGGGGCTGAGGGCTGTGGCCTCTGTGGGAGCTGCACTTATCCTCTTTCCCTGCCTACTGTACGGGGCATATGCCTTCCTGCCCTTTGATGCCCCACGGCTGCCCACCATGAGTTCCCGCCTGGTCTACACGCTGCGCTGTGGGGTCTTTGCCACCTTCCCCATCATCCTGGGTGAGCCTGGGCCCTGTGAGAAGAAAGGGAGCATCTGGGAAGTGGACTTGAGGAGGGCAGGGTCTGCCTGGCTTGGGGAGGAGGAGGGCTTCCCTTCACTCGGCCTGGGCCCTTCAGGGCCTCTTGCACCGTGCCCCTCTGCATACCCATCTCCTCCCAGGACCACCTCCACCCCACTATGTAGATAGTCCATTCCTGTGCACGATCCACCATGAACCCTGCCCTTAGCTTATAGCCTCTTGCACCCTCCTGCCTATTCTGACCCTGTGTTCTCCAACCCCACCCAGGGCTCTTGGTGTACGGGCTGAGCCTGTTATGCTTTTCTGCCCTTCGGCCCTTTGGGGAGCCACGGCGGGAGGTGGAGATCCACCGGCGATATGTGGCCCAGTCGGTCCAGCTCTTCATCCTCTACTTCTTCAACCTGGCTGTACTTTCCACCTACCTGCCCCAGGATGCCCTCAAGCTGCTCCCTCTGCTCACTGGTCTCTTTGCCATCTCCCGGTGAGTTGGGGCTGGGGGTAGGGGACGGGAGAGGTGATGATACTAGAGGACCCAGGCATCTGAATGTTTGGAGAGCTAGGGTCAGGGGCTTTCTGGATTCTACATTGGCCCAAATGTGTGCCCTGAAGAGATGAGTCCACTTTCTCGCACTTTACCTCACCTGGTAGCAGGAGGTCAGCTCTTATGTCTTCCCATAGGAAGCTGATTTCAGAGACACATACACCACTGTCTAACTGGAAGGCCTTCAGGTATCATCTAAATCTATGCACCATTGCAGCCACTCCTCTGGTCAGGTAGCTTTTTTGGCCTCTAGCTGAACACCTCCTGTGACCAAATGCTCAATTCTTTATATAAAGCAATATGTTTCAGTTTCTAAAGGTCCTTATTGTTAGAAAGTTCTTTATATTGTGCTTCTGCCTGACTCTGCCCTCCAGAATTGCCTAGGACAAATTCCGATATTTGACAGTAGCCCTCAATTCCCTCCACTCCCCTTGTCTCTACTTTGTTAAATTGCCCTCCTGCCTTCCCTGTCCTGGCTTCTCTCCTCTGGGCAGAAAATTCTCCTGCTTGACAATGGGAAGGGGCTGGTTGAGGGTACTGCTCTTCTCTTCGTCTTGTCAATGGGGAGGCCCTAGTCCAAGGGTACTGTCCTCTTCCTACAAACCAAGGCCACATTGGCTCTCATGGCAGCCTCCTTACTTTCCTTTCGTTCAGAGTTTGCTGTCACCTGAAATCCTTAGGGGTGTTTTCATGTGAACTACTGTTAACCCAGAAGGCTCCTTTGAATTTCTGAACCCAACTATAGGTCTTCCATTTTTCCCTAATACAGTTCCTCTTGTTACTTTCAATACATGATTCCAGGTTGCTTTAATTGCTAAAATATTCTTCCTATTGAGCTAAAATTAGTCTTCCTGTCACTTCTGATTGCAGTCTAGTAGTTAGCTATCCCACCAGCCTCCTGACCATCATGCAGCCTTGTATTTTCTCCCAGTAGATTTTCCCAAGATAAATATGTTCTTACGCAGGTAACTCAGACTCTCATCTCTGACTGTGGGGAATACTGGTCTCAGGTAGAAGTTAACTTAAGCAGTAAGAAGCAGCAAGGAGCTAAAGGAAGACTCAGTGATTGTCTGGTCCAGACTTCCCATTTTATTTGATTGACTTTTTTTTTTTTTTTTTTTGAGACAGAGTCTCACTCTTTTGCCCGGGCTAGAGTGAGTGCTGTGGCGTCAGCCTAGCTCACAGCAACCTCAAACTCCTGGGCTCAAGCAAGCCTCCTGCCTCAGCCTCCCGAGTAGCTGGGACTACAGGCATGCGCCACCATGCCCGGCTAATTTTTTCTATATATTTTTAGCTGTCCGATTAATTTCTTTCTATTTTTGGTAGAGACGGGGTCTCGCTGTTGCTCAGGCTGGTCTCGAACTCCTGAGCTCAAACAATCCGCCCGCCTCGGCCTCCCAGAGAGCTAGGATTACAGGCGTGAGCCACCGCGCCCGGCCCAACTGATTGATTTTTTTGAGACAGGTTCTTGCTCTGCCGCCCTGGCTAGAGTGCAGTGGCATCATCATAGCTCACTGCAACCTCAAACTCCTGGGCTCAAGCAATCCTCCTGCCTCAGCCTCTTGAATAGCTGGGACTACAAGTGCACACCACCATGCCTGGCTAATTTTTTAATATTTTGTAGGGATGGGGTCTCGCTATTGCCAGGCTGGTCTCAAATTCCTGGGCTCAAGTGATCCTTCCACCTTGGCCTTTTAAAATGCTAGGATTACAGGTGTGAGCCACTGCACCTGGCCCAGACTTCCCATTTTAGAGAGAGGAAACCACAACAGATTGGGGGAGAAGAGCTGATCAGGTTAGTCAGCAACAGTGGTAGGACTAAAATCCAGGTCCCTTGCCTCCAGGGTCCTTTCTTCTCTACCATGGGCAAGTTTCTTAAGCAGTTTGTGCCTCAGTCTCACCATCTGTAAAATGGAGTTCTGAGGATTAAATGAGCTAATTAATGTAGAGTGCCTAAAACAATCTGGCACTGTGGTAAGAGTTCACTCTTATTATGCCATGCTGCTTCCTGGTGCAATAGAGAAGCAGCAGTTAGTTACTCCCTCTTCCCTCCCTTTCACAGGTAAAAAGAGTAGACATTCATCAATTATGTAATAAGTGGTCCTTCATGTATTAAGAGGAAGTTCCTCCCCCTCCTTCCATTGAGGGGTATGTATTTTATTTTATTTCTTTAGAGATGTGGTCTCGCTCTATTGCCCAGGCTAGAGTGCAGTGATCATAGCTGAGAAGCCTCGAACTCCTGAGCTCAAGCAATCCTCCCACCTCAGCCTCCTGAGTAGCTGGGATTACATACTCAAGCCACTGTGCCTGGCAGGGTGTGAATTTTGAGTGAGTTTTCCAAGTGGAGAAATTTGGTTGTGGTTGACCCATCCCTCTGGGCCTCAAGTCCTCTTGAAGCTGCCTTCCTTACTCTCCTCCCTCCTTCCGCCACTCTAAATGGCAGAAGAGGGGGTGATGAACAGGCTTGGGTTCAAATCATGGCTTTGCTATTTCCCAGATGTGTGACCTTGGACCAGTCTTACTTAACCTCTTTGGAATCTTAGTTTCTTCATCTGCAAAACAGTAAAATAAATACAATGGAACACACTTCAACTGTAAAAGAATGAGAAAACTATATCTGATATAAAATGATCTCCAAGATATATTAAAATGGGGGGAAAATCGACATGCAGAGCACTCTATATTGTATGCTACCATACTCCAAAAAATGGGAAAAGAAAACAAAACTTTTTGCTCATATATACCAAAAAATCACCTAATGCACAAGAAGCCATAATGTTGTATGCCTGGGGGTGGATGGGGGAAGAGAATAGGGTCGGAATCAGTAAAGGGAGGAAGATATTTTACTCTACTTATTGAATTTTGAACCATGTGAATGTATACTGCCCACTCAAAATTTTTTAACTAAAATTTGAAAAGTAAATAAATAAAAGAAAGGGAATAGTATACTTAACCTCATAGAGATGTGGGGAAGTCAAAGTTAAATAGGTCACTTACAGCAATTAGCACCGTGCCTGGCACATATTAACTTCGTAAACTTTGGCGGTTTTCAGAAGTCCCAGCCATACCCACCCTCCCATCTGCCTCCCTATTTCCTCCACCGTCGGCCTATTGCCAGTCAGCTGACCGCTTCCCTCAGAGTAGCCCGACTCTTTTCTTGCCTCCACAGGCTGATATACTGGCTGACCTTCGCCGTGGGCCGCTCCTTCCGAGGCTTTGGGTACGGCCTGACGTTCCTGCCGCTGCTGTCCATGCTGGTGTGGAACCTCTACTACATGTTCGTGGTGGAGCCCGAGCGCATGCTCACTGCCGCCGAGAGCCGCCTGGACTACCCAGACCACGCGCGCTCGGCCTCCGACTACAGGCCCCGCCCCTGGGGCTGAGCCGCTCCGCCCTCTCGGCCTCGGGGCGGGGCGCGCCGGGTGGGCTCGGAACACTTCCCTGAACCTGGCTGCAGACCTGGACTTTGCCCCCAGCCCTGGGACCTCGGTAAGGGGAACCCTGCTACTGACCCAACAGGGGGCCCATCCAATCAGAGCTCTTCCCTAGCCAGGGCTGCCCTTCATCTTTGGGGCCCGGGACAGTCATAAAGGATGGCCTTAGTTTCCTTGCAGGGAAAGAGGTGGACAGCTATGTCCCTTAAGGATGCTGAGGGCAGGGGCCAGGACCAGGGGAGAGGCATGGTTCCTTCCTGAGCAACCTGCCACCACAGCCATTAGGGCTTACTAGTGGTGGACTCTGCCCCACCCCCCAGTCTCCCCCCAGTTTTCTGTGCGGCAGGGCCACAGCCAAACCCTGACCATTTCTGTGTCAGTTGTCTAAGCAGAGGACCTCAAGGAGCCTGGATATACTGCCCACATCTAAGGATAGAGGCTGGGCATCAGATCAAATAGGACTGTCATGTTTGGTGAAAACTTTCCTTGGGAGTCTGGGATAAGGGCCCTTTAGCTTCAGTCAAGACTATTATAGCTGCCCCAGTCCTGGGCTGCTGCCTTCTCTCTTCCAATCTGTTTAGGCCTCTGTAACTTCCCACCTTTAAACTGCCCAGAAGTCACACCCCTCCCACAGGAGAGAGGAGTAGACAGGGAAATCTGCCTCCCAAGAGGGGTTAGGGGGTGGTGCTGTGTGTGTGTTTGTGTGTGCGCGCACGTGTGTCCACATGTGGTGGCTGGGGAGTGGTTGGAAGGCACAGTGGCTGATGTTAACCCAGTGTGAGTGTGTGTGTGTGTGTAACAATAAATTACTACCACAGTCTTTGTTGGCTCTTTTTTCCAGTTTGTACCCTGGTCTCAATGTCCCTTCCTTGTTTGATTCACACTACAACAGAAACCTCCTAGCTCCACATGGCGGAGGGCTGACAGAAGGCTTGGTTCCATGGTGAGGGAGAGAACAAGTCCTGGTGAGGAAATGCAGCCTCAAACAGAAACTTAGCACTTCCATTCCCTGGAACCAGCTCCAAACCAGCCCATCAAATTCACACATGAAGAGACTGGAGCCCTGTGAAAAAAATAAGTCTATTTCATGCCCTCCAGGGCGGCCGACCAGTCAGAAGACCTCTCATTTAGGACTCGAATCCCATCCAAAGCAAACAAGTGTGGGGTATGCAGGAAGGAAACGCCGAGGGACCCTTCTTTCCTTCCTTTAGCAACAATCCCCTGTCCCTGGCCCCTCCCCAAGGTATGAAGGAAGCCCCACCTGGGGGTCCCCAGGAAGTTGAGGCTAGTCTGTGAGGTTCTAAGAAAAGCAAGATGGGAGAGGGGAGGGGCCGGCTGGAACACTGACCCGCCAACCTCCAGAGGTCTCAGTCACAGCAAGGCAGGTCCAGTAACGTCCTTCCGTCCAGAGAGTGGGCCTCAGTTGATGGACTGGTACTCTGAGTACTGCTTTTGGCGCAGAAGCAGAACCAGGCCCCCCCCCAGCAGTATGAGCCCTGGGGCACCCAGGGCCACCGCCATGATGCCCAGGACTAGTGGGGACAAGGCATCCATTGGAGGGGGGCCCACACCCACGAGCATCGACCTAGAGCAAGCAGAGTGAGAGAGAGAGGTAAACAGGCTTAGGAGTGAAGGCCAGGAGGCTCAGCCCTCTACTTCAGCCCCCCGAGCCCTCGGCCGGGCCCTGGCTCTCACCAGCTGAGGTAGTGTTGGTCCCAGTAGCCAGGGCCTGTGGAAGCCCCGAATGTCAGATTGAAGGCACAGAAGTTGTTCTGGGGTCCAAAGAAGGCTCGGACGATGGGTGACTGGGGGAGAGCGTATGCCAAGGTAGGGTGAAGAGGGGAAGCATGGCAGGGCAGGGCTGATTCTCGGCCCCGTTGCTTCTGGGAGTAAGCCACTGGTCGCCACTGCACGAAGCCTGGTGGGAGGGAGCCCCACAGCAGCTGGTCCAGCTGGGGAGAAAGGCAAACAAGACAGAGTGAGGAGGACCAACCTGTGCCCAACTCTCCCAGCCTCCGTCTGTCACTAGTACTGACAGGCAGTGTGCTAAGGGCAGAGGAGTCCTGAGTCCTAGGTAGGGCCTCAATCTCCCCTCTGTAAAATGGGGGAGTTGGACTGGGTGGGCACTAAGTGCTTTTCCAGCCCTGCACATTTGCACTCAGCTCCCTCCTTAGGGCCCCCAGGCCTTGCAGATCCCCGCCTGCTAGAGCATGTCTCATACTGCACAGCCTTCTGTCTCCACGGAGGGCAGAGACTGGGTCAGATTCATTAGTACAGTGGCCACACTTAAAAGGAGTTGCTAAACAGTAAATGGTTGAACCATTCTCTAAGGTCCTAACGGAGTCACACCTACATTCCCCAGCCATCTGCCTCTCCACTGGAAGCCTGACCTGGAAGATAGCAGGTGCATATTCATCGTCGATGGAGTGCTGCTCCTGTATTGAGGGGCAGTCAGGGCCCTGGCCCAAGGTGGCTACCTCCAGCCCAAACAAGGAGCAGTTTCCCTGGGGAGAGGCCCCAACCAGGGCCACCTCTAGCTGGCAGGTATCTGCCGTGTGCAGGAGGCGAGGGGGTTGGGCTGGTCGGCCGGATCTGGAAAAGGCGTGGACCTAGGAAGGAAACATGGGAGATATGGGAAACAGCTGGATGCTGGTGCTTGAGGGCCACCCCATCATTAACTCCCACCCTCATAAATCAGCCTTTTGAGTTCCTTCTAATTCCCTGTCCCTTACCCTGAAGGCCAGGCTGCCATTGGCAAAAGCCCTGGTAGGGTCGTGCATGGGGCGGCCTTGAAATGTGGCACTCAGGGTGGCAGGATCCAGTGAGTCGGTGATGTTGTTCCAGGAGAACTCGGCCAAGGAGTATGGAGGATACGGTTTTCCTGGGGGCTTTGCTGCCGTATTGGACACGTTGGTGCCGTCAAACTCAAGCAGCTGGAAGGTGGGGGTGGGGTGGAACTGGGCTTACCTTGATCTAGCTTTCTCCTGAATCACCCCTCCCACACACCTTCCCCCACCACCAGGGCTCTCATATCTATTTCACCCCCTCCTTCAATTCCTCCCTCTGATTAGGATGAACTCCCTCCTCTGCACTCTTTTTGGAGCTCCCCAACCTCCTCACCCTGGTAAAGACAAGGGCAGAAGAAAACTGGATGCTGTCCTTGGGGAGCACCGTCAGGCCTCCATCAGGCTCAGGGGACAGCAGGCAGCTCCAGTTGACACTCAGGGTACTGTGGGGGGTGTTGGTGGCCACCAGCACCACCGCTGGAGGCCCCAGGCTGCTCCACACATAGTGCAGTGTGGAATTGGTGCCCACTGCCCGGATATGAAGCAGGTTCTGGGGGTTACCCAGCCAGCCAGGGATGACCTCCAGAGATACCTGGAACACGGAACAGTGGAGGGTCGAGGGAACAGGATCAGGGAGAGACACGGGAACTCGAGGGTTGGGGGAAGGGGGGTCTGGGAAATGCTGGGGAAAGGATGGGACCTTGGGGGTCTAGGTAAGAAGGAGCTAAGGGAATCCTGGGATAAGGGGCAGCGGCGGGATGGAGAATAGGGGTGCGTGTAGAGCCAAGACTGCCCTGACCCTGATGGGGAGGAGGTCAGGACACAGAACTGGGAAGAAAAAATCCAACACTTGCCTAGACCTAGGTCACCCAAGGCTGTGTCAGGATCCAGACTTTACCCGCACATTTGCCCTCCTCCACAATCCCGTCCCATAATACATGGCTGTCCCCCCGCGCCTCCCCCGGTTGACGAACCCTCCTCTTGGCAGCCACCCTTCACTGCCACCCTTTGGATGCCCCAGATTCTAGCCACACTGCAAGGTTAGCATTTCCTGAAACCTCTATTGCTTCAGTTCCAGAGCCCTCACCTGGCGGGTTTCCTCCCCCAGCAGGCCAAATGGGGCTGCAGACAGAAGTAGACTCAGGAGGAGCATGGGGCTGGGGGCACGATGCCCCCAACCCCAGCAGCGCTGGCCATAGCCGCACATGCGGACCCAACTTCTGCTGCCGGAAGAGAGACGCAGAGAGTCACGTGACTCAGATTCAGCTGATCCCCTTCAAGGGCGGGGCCGCCACACCAGTTCTTAAAGAGACCGCCCCCCTTTACCCAGATTTCAGCATAAGTTAGAATAGAATCAGAAAGATTGGGAGGATGTCATCCCTAACTGGGCTGGCAAGCAAGACATCAAGATCAGATGTGCAGACATACTTCCAGCCTCTACTACCCAACTGGTCCCTCTGAAGTTACTTACCATGGGCAAGATCCAAATGGGATCCCAATAATACAACTTTGTGGTTGAAAGGTCCAGAGAGGAATTTTAAAGAATTACATGAGATGTGCACCTGAGGGTTCTTTTTGTCAATGTAATATTTATTGAACACCTAGGTATGCAGATTCTTGTCCTGAAAGAGTTCACAATTTTATTGTGGAGAAAAGATACCTCAGAAAATAGGATATGAGAACACCACCAGTATTTGTCAGAAGACAGAGGTAAGTCTGGTTGAATGCAAATTTTGTTTTTGCTTTATCTTAAATTGTATTTACTGATAAATGCATATGGTACAAAATTCAAAAGGTATTACCCATATTCCCCAGCAACTGGTTCCTCCCCAAAACAACCACCATTACCAGGTTCTTATGTTTTTTTCTTTCAAAGAAACAGGGTCTCGCCCTATCATTCAGGCTGGAGTGCAGTGGTGCAATCATAGCTCACTGCAGCCTCAAACTCCGGGGTTCAAACAATCCTCCTGACTCAGCCTCAGAATACCTGGCACTACAGGCGTGCACCACCATGCCAGGCTAATTTTTAAATATTTTGTAGAGACAGGGGTCTTTACTATGTTGCCCAGGCTGGTCTCAAACTCCTGGCCTCAAGCAATCCTCTCGCTTCAGCCTCCCAAAGTCCTGGTATTACAGGCATCAGCCACCACGCCTGGCTCTTATATATCCTTCTGAAGATATTCTACTTAAGAATACTGTATATAATAAATACTGCACATTTGGCATCCAAACACTATTATTTGCTTTTTCACTCATATATGGAAGACCGATCCTTATGAATGCTCTTTGTCTCATTCTCCTCGTAGTGGGATGTTCCATGGATTGATCTATTGATCTATTTTAGAGACAGTGTCTTGTTGCCCCCCAGGCTGTATTGCCGTGGTGTGACCATAGCACACTGTGACCTCGGACTTTCATGGATCTGTTTAACCAGAATTCTGTTGATAAAGTAGTATTTTGCTGTGGCAAACAGTACTGGTCCTGACTGAAATGGACTCAACCAACGAGAAATGCTGAAATCCCACCACTTCTTATATTTGTAACCAGTTCTGTAGGATAAATACCCAGAAGTGGAATCACCAGGTTAAATTGCCCTTTTTATGAGTTTTACCAATTGACACTCAACCCATGTGCATGTCCATTGCAAGTGTTTACCAAATTTGGTTTACATTTCCCTATGAAAAAGGTTAAGCATATCTTCGTGTTTTAGTCATTAATTTTCATGTATTTGGAGGTATTTATATCCCTTGAGTATTCTTCTATAGGCCTTTTCTTCTTGCCAAGTTCTAAAAGTCCTTTAAGGAAAGTAACTCTTGTGTCATTGCTAACATCCTCCTTCCTGGTTTTTTGCCATGCAATTTCTGTATGTGGTTCCCACCCCTCACTGACACATTTTAAATACAATTTTCGAATACTCTTATGATTCCATTTTCTTATATTTGAAACTTTCAGCTGCCTGGAATTAATTTTGCTGTAAGAAAGTGGGGATCCAGCCAGGTGTTGGCTCACATCTGTAATGCCAACATTTTGGGTGGCTGAGGTGAGAAGATCACTCGAGGCCAGGAGTTCAAGATGAGCCTGGGCAATTTATCCAGATGGTTTCTCTTAAAAAAAAAATAAAGTAGGGATCTAATTTCATTTTTTTCTCCCAATGGCTACTCTAGGAATTATACAACTCTCAGAAGCTTCCTCAAAAATTCATTTTTCTTGAGAAAAAAGTACAGTCGGCGCTCTGTACTGCTGGTTCAACATCCACCGATTCAACCAGGGATTGAAAATATTTGAGGAAAAAAATAGAAAATACAACAGTACAACTATTTACATAGCACTTACATTGTATTAGGTCATCAGTAATCTGGAGATGATTTAAAGTATATGGGTTTCCTTTTTTTTTTCTGAGACTTTTTTGCTCTGTTGCCCTGGGTACAGTGTAGTGGCATCGTCACAGCTCACTGCAACCTCAACTCCTGGGCTCAAGTGATCCTCCTGCCTCAGCCTCCAAGTAGCTGGGACTATAGGCGTGCACCACAACACCCACCTAATTTTTCTATTTTTAGTAGAGACGGGGGTCTCACTTTTGCTCAGGCTGGTCTTGAACTCCTGAGCTCAAGCAATCCTCCTGCCTTGGCTTCCCAGAGTGCTGGGATTACAGATGTGACCCACCGCACCTGGCGAACTTAAAGTATATGGGATGATGTGCATAGGTTATATGCAAATACTATACCATTTTATCTATATTAGGGACTTGATCAGCTGCAGATTTTGATATAGAGGGATGTCCTGAAACCAATCTCCCTCAGATACTTAGGGACTACTATACTTGTACCTTCTAAGGTATCAACTCTTGGACCTGATAAGGGAGAATAAAAAAAGGTAGCCTGGGTGACCTTTATTTGCTAAGTTCAATTTAAATTTTTAAAAGCAAAGAGGGGCTTTGAAAGCTAGACTGAGTCCACATTGATCTAACATGCTAGACGGATTTACGTAAGTTTAGAAATAGAATTATAGGTGCTTTTAAAAAAAAGGTATCAATGATAGGAAAGACAACTATGCTATCCAAATGTCTAACCATTACTGCTGAAACCAAAACTAACCTATACAAGCAAGGGACAAATGGGAGGAAAGAATCCATAGCTTCCTCAGGACCTCCATGATTTCTCAGGTCTTATGAGCAATGTTTCTTTAAGATCTTATTTGTTTACTAATTTATTTGAGAATTAACCCATCATCTCTCTCGAAAGAGTTAGAGCTCTGAGGGAATTAACACTGCAAGAGGCAGAGATTTCAGCTACAGGCAGGCAGACTTAATTCTGAGCCGCTTGTAAAAGCCGAGGGCTTTAGACTGTGCAGGAAGGGTCTCCAGGGGCACTCTCACAAGCCCTTTTCTACCCCTACCTGAGTTCAGTCAGGACAGCCAGCTGTAAAAGCATAGCTTCCGGAGCCAGACTGCCTACTTATGAATTCCAGGTGTGCCACTTACCAGCTCTGAGACCCTTGAACAAGTTACTTTATGCTTTAGATTCCTCCTCACAAAATGGGGGATATTACTACCTATTTTACAGGGTCGTTGTAAGGATCAGTTAGTTAACATAGGCAAAGTGACTAGAACAAATCTGTTATACGGTACTTACTGTTATTCTACCACCAAGTATTCAATTTAATATGACTAAGTCCTGTGGTCGGCGAGAAGCTAAACAAGGCTGAATGTATGAATCATAAGGACAAAGGGTAGGGTGGAAGGCCCAGTAACTAAGAGGAAGGACACTGTAGAAATTAAAGGCTGGCCCCACCTAGCTTCTACCATCCCAGGGCCACTATTCAGATTTCCCCCTAACCCCCTTGATAAAAGCAAAGCACAAAATGAGATTGAATATTTTGTTTCTGCTATCAGGGAAGGCAGAGGTCTGACTGTGACATAATCCTGGCATGGGAATAAGCCAGCAAGCCAAAATATAGACTGGAATCAGAAAGAACACTGGGAGAGAGCAGAGAAAAAGAATTCCAGGTAAGGTAGGGAGAATTCTGAAAATTATGCAATACAAAAAAAGATGTTGTATGTCCTTTAGGACAAATGCCAGAGCCCTAGCACATATTGAATGTTGTGCTACATACAACCACAGATGGGGAACACCCATGGTTTAGACAGGTTCCTCTTGTTCTTTTGGGTGGTGAATGCAAAGTGGTGCTTCATAAACTTTACAGCGTCATCCTCTGAACTCCAAAAGGGTCTTCCCAACCAAGACCTACTGAGAAGTCTGAAGAATACCCCTTCAAGAAGGCAAAAAAAAATAAAAAAAAAAAAAGACTGAATGACCTCATTCCTGTCTCCCTTCCTCCCTAGTAAGGTTTTCTGTCGTTCTGTCAGGAGGTAGAGATATGCACCCAAGGTTGAAAAACACACAACTCTCTCAAATGACTTAGATTTAATCATCGGAAGCAAACTAAATGGAAACCTTACAATAGAGAAGAATTACATGTCAGTGCTTTTTGCAAACTGAGCTGGGACAGAAAGGGACTGGGGTTGCCCCTCAACCTGATCCCTTCCAAACAAAGACGCCCACAGTGTTCCTGGCACTCTGGCTCAGGAAAGGGGGAGACTTTGCTGGTTTTGTGTTGAAGTCACCTCGCCCAGCACTCATTCCTGGCCAGCATCAGGAGCCCCGCCTTGCCGGCTCTGGTCATCGCCCTTCTTTTTGTGGCCTGAGACAATGTCATCAATCCGCAGCAGGAGAACTGCCGTCTAGGAGAAAAATCAGACTCAATAAGGTCAGCAGAGAAGGGAAGGATTCTGTTTTCTTTCAGACATACCACCTAGCTACTCCCATAGAATTACTGTTTCATCTGAAATCTACCTTTTTAGAGTCTTGAATGTAAATACATTTCTTCCTAAGCAAGAGATGCAGCTTGTGCTATGTTACCTTGCTTTTAGTATGAGCTAAAGATAAGCAGAGGGATTAGGAATTCCTCAGGAGACCTCTGTGGAATACTCTGCCTTCTATACCCTTCCCTTCAAGACTAGACCAAACCACTAGTTTCTGGTTATCGGAAAATAAATACCATGCACACGTCTTAAGGTGCCTCACCTCCACTGCGGTCTTGTATGTTTGCAGCTTCACAGCCAATGGCTCCCATATGCCTAGTTCTTTCATGTCCACCAAAGTACCCGTCTCACCATTGACACCCCAGGTCTCACAGTTCTCTTGGGTATGCTTGGCCTGCAAATGGAGGAGGCAGAAGTAGTTAAA